TAACACGTAATGACAACTAAGTCTCGCTGGTTCAGTTATTGATTCCCTGTTCAGCCCATGTGTCTGGGTACTTACTACATGCCAGGGGATTAGATATGAATTAGATTAGTCTTGATCATCAGTGTGTTTCTATATCTTGTGAAATACAGCATGGTGTATAAAGGCCCTATGGGCAGGAGACACAAATTCGGATCACATTCTCTGGTTGACCATTGATCCTGGGCATGTTACTCGGTCTCTCTGAATTTAAATGTGAAGAGTAGGGCCACCCATGGCCTGGTGGCTAAGGTGCTGGGTCCCCATAGCTAGCTGACTACACAACTCAGGTCCTAGACAGAGCGGCTTGTGTGCTTGCATGCCCAGGATCCCGAGAGGGGATCACAGAAGGGACTGCAACGTGGCCATCCCCAGGGGGTGATTTCTCACTGCCCCACCTTCCCCAGCTCACTCTGGGGGGTGTGCACACTGTATAACAAAACTGAAGGAAAAAAATAGAAAGGAGCCTTCTTAGCATAGGGCGTGGGCACATATATGTTTGTGTGGTTTTCAATAGAAGCCATGTGTCTTTGAATATTTATGGAATGCAAAGCACTCCCTATAGATGTTTTTTTGTTGTTGTTGTTTTTTTTTTTATTCTCACATAGATAAAAGCCCAGAAGGACAGTTCTCTCAGCTAATGACACCGCCCAAAACCCTACAGCAACATCTGAATCATATCATGGATCCTCCTGGGAAAAAACAAGATGTGGAAGAGACTTTGTTACAACTCGTTCACGATCCCGACTGCGGGGACGTGATACGGCTAGGTAGGTTCCCCAGTCTGACACTGAGGAAGCGTGGCCTGGGGGGCGGGAGTCAGAGCAGACCGGACACACCAATTCTTCTTGCCTAGCAAGACCCAGAGAGAGGTCGTCTCTGGGAGGAAGAAAGCAGTGACAATGGGGGCCTTTCTTGACTCTATTTTCCCCATTCACAGCTGGTAGAAGTGTTGTTTTCAGATTCCTGAGTCCTCAGTCACTGTCAAAGGGAGGAACGGTGTTTCTTGTTCCTGCAGCATAACTTCTAGAGGTCGTTTAGGACGATTTATGGTGTTCTGAGAGAGGCGGAGATGGTTCCACTCTCGGTGCTCTGACAGCGCCAGGAACGCGTTTCTCCTGGACCAGCTCCCAGCCACACATCTCATTCAGAGTTTGGCAGGTTCCCCCCTACATGGTCCCCAGCCACAGCATTAGTCCTGGGCCTGCCAGTGTTTATCAGGAAATCTGGACCTTATCTTCTGAGACATACTCCCTCGGAGGTGTAATGATCATTTGCAGAATGTGCCCCTCCCTCAAGTGCCTTCGTTTTCCTGTTTTCATTGAGTAAATATTTACTGAACTCTCCATTGTAAGCCACTGTGCTCAATGCAAATACAATGATAACTACTAAGTTTTTGATTGATTTCTTACATGGGAGAGAAAGAGGAGAGACAGGCACCCCCAAAAAGCCTCCACGCCACAGTCTACCTCCAGTCTCGGTCAGATCTCTCGTGCCTCCAGCATGCTCAGGGACGTCCAGGACATGCACCTATGACTTTCCCACATGGATTTCGTCGTGTTGCCATCACGGCACCACCTGGTGCTGCTACCGCCACGCTGGGCACTAGACCGCAGTTGGGTTCTGGCTGCTGTGGGCCAGCCCATGCTCACTCGCTCACGGACTGCACCAGGTTTTCCGAGCATGTGCTCAGCTCACAGCCCCTTGCTCTGAAGGCAGACCTGAGTGAGCCACACTGCGTAACGTGGTGATGGGGATAGCCAGCACTCTGCGGCCTTTTGAGTGGATGGAAGGCTTGAAGAGTTGCTCATCGCTAAGGGATCCTATGTGTGTGTCTTCAGAACAAAAATTTTTCTCCTAGATTAAACCACTTGTTTTTTATCTTTTCATATCTTAGAACTGAGAACCAGAAGTTGTCAGCAGATTTGAAGTCATAAAATGACTTGAGGATCGCTCGCCTGCTGCCTGCCCTGTTTACGGAGAGCAGACGCAGGTGCAGAGGGGCTCTGACTTCCCTGGCTTACACAGCAGGCTCGTGTCCCACCATAGCAAGCCGCTCCTGGTCCCAGCCCCTCAATCCTGGCCCCACGTTCATGGCTCCTGTGACACCAGGACAGGGGAAGATTTGCTGCTCCTATCTGGTAAATGGAAGGAATATTTAGTCTCAGGTTCTAAAACTGTTATGATATGGTAACATCTGTGGCTTTTGGTAGCCTCTCTGGTTTTGTTTTCACAGGGCTTTCAGCCATCATGAGACCTTCTAGTATAAGACAGAGCACCAAGGGCATCTTTACAGCTGGTAAGAACTGTAGGAAGTCTATGTGTACCCGCCGCACTGGTTGGCGTTGGCACTCTCGGTTCAAATGTAAAGCTCGGGCCGGTCCTATGGCCTGGGGTGAAGGAAACTAGAGTCCACACAGCCGGACGCATGCTACAGGTCCTGGACCTGGCAGTTGAGAAACATGCCCAGCTTGCGTGTGCATGTCCTCAGGATCACAGCAGGAAGGAGACATGGAGGCAGAGGGGGTATGGCATGACCATTCCTCATTGATAGTGTTTATTCTTTAACCTTTCCTCTCTCTGGCAAACACATGTGCCATCTGGCAAAAAATAAAATTTTTAACTGTAACCCTCGGGCCGGCCTAATGGCCTAGTGCTTAAGGGAACCAGATCCCACATGACTGACCATGCAGTTCAAATCCCAGACCCAGTAGCTTTAAAAACAGACTAGGCGTGTGCACATGTGTGCCCCAAATCCTGACAGGATGGAGAATGGAGGAGAAGGGATTGCAGTGTGACGTGCTCCATCGAGGAGTGAGTGCTTGCACCTTCCCTCTGTCTCTTTCTCTGTCTGGTGAATGGACACACCCTCGGAGTTATATCCAGAGACAGATTGAAGTGAAATGAGTGCCAGCTAGGGGAGTGGTGGTTAACGCGGCTGGATTCGACACGGCCAGCTCTGTGCTCCAGGTGCCAAACTTGGCAGCTTGCAAAATATACCAGGCCGGGACCACCAGTTGGCGTAATGACTGTGTGGCTGGACTCCCACATAGTCCTGGACCCAGTGGCTTAAACTCACTCTGGGCACGTGTGCGTGTGTGCCCAAGATCACGAGCGGAGAATGGAGGAGAAGGGATTGCGGTGTGGCCATCCCCCCGAGGGGTGATTTCTCACTTTCTGTCTCTCTCTGCCTGGTGAGCACCCCTATAGCAAAAACCTCTCTTAAAAAAAAAGCAGAAAATATATCAGGCACGTGTGCATGCGTGCCCAGGATCGCTGGAGGAGAATGGATTGCAACATGGCCATCTCCCCTGAGGTGTGATTGCTCACTTTCCCTCTCTCTCTCTCCAGTGCACACATGTGTCCTATAGCAAAAACTTAAGAGTTAAGAAAAAAAGAAACAGAATGTAAAAGCTGTATCTTCTAAGTGCTTATAAAAAGTTGAGTTTCTGTGGTGAAATATTATAGTTGTTTATGAACAGCCATAACAACACTGTGATCTGGCCAGCTAAAAGTGTTGGACTGTTTGGGGCATGTTGTTGGAAGGCGGTCCAGCTACTCTGAGTAGCTCCTGTGTGTGGATTCCTCTTATAATTTTGCATTTAGCGGAGTTGTGTACCGTGTTCTAAAACAGCACGCCCCTTATTCAGTCAGCTGTTTCTCACCCTCTGTGGGTTGTTGTGTTTTTTTCTGCCATTTTTCTAAACTCAGTAGTAAATCCACATTGCTCTTTGTTTTCACATCATCTACCAACTTGTCTGTCAGAGATTAGGATTCAGCTCTTGCCCGCACCACTCACCTCCGTCTTATGTTGTTGTGGTGTCCTTCAGCTAAGTCAGTCAGTGTGACAGTGAGCCTCTAACACGTTCTGCCTCCCTGCTCAAGCTCTTCTCCCAGGGACCTCGTCCTCCCCTGTCCTGTCGGGCAGATCTGCCCTTTGTAACGTGTGCCTTTCATCATCTTGGTGTGGCACACTCTCATTTCGGTGAGGTGCATCATCCAATAATTTCTTGAGAAAGCATATAAATTCAGAGACCGTGCATTTCTGGAAATCTCATTCGTCGACCCTCACACCTGATACTTAATCAAGGTATAGATCTCGTTTGAACCGTGAAATGATGGCCATGATTGCTGTCCCACTCATGGGTTGGTGTAGAAGACCAGAGCCTTTTTTTTTTTTTAATTAAAAAAAAATTTTTTTTATAGGTTTTTGCTATAGGGCACATGTGCTCGCCAGAAAGACAGAGACAGACAGAAAGTGAGAAATCACAACCCAGGGGGGATGGCCATGCTACAATTCCTTCTCCTCCATTCTCCTCTCGGGATCTTGGGCATGTACGCACACGCACCTGTCGTGAATTTAAGCCACCGGGTCCGGGACTTGAACTGCAGTTGGCTACAACATGGGAGTCAGGTGACACAGCCATTACGCTAACTGCTGGTCCCACCAGAGCCATTTTGATCCATCATCCCTTATGATCCATCATCTCCCTGGAAGCCTGTGAGGTCCTTTACCCAGGGCTCTCCAAGTGCTTCGATGTGACATTTTTTATCTATTCTCCTTGATACTCATTGCCCTTTCAGTTTGGAAACCCAGAATAAGGGAATATAGGACAATTATCTTTTATTATTTCTTTAATTTTGTCATTTGTTTTATCTGTTCTCTTTTTGGAAATCCTTTTCTTTTTACTTTTTAAGAAATATTTTATTCTATTATTACTATTTTTTCATTTGATCAGAGAGAGAAAGGAAAGTGAAAAAGCAAACCACCAGATTCAGGACTCAAACCGTGGTTGGCCATGTGGGAGTCCAGAGCCTTAACCATCATGCCACTTGCTGGCCCCTCTGGAATGGCGGTTAATCTGATATTAGATCTCTTAGACTAGTCCTTTGGTTTTCTTTCTTTTTTTTCTTCTTCTTTTTAAAAAATCTCTTTAAAGCCTTTGTTCTACCTTCTTGGAAATTTTCTCAGCTTTAGCTTTCAGCACTTCAATTGAATTTTTTATTTCTGCTATTAAAATTTTAATTTCCAGAAGCTCTTGTTTTGGTCATTGTCATTGTGAATGCTCCTTTTTTATTTTTTTTGCATTACATTCTTTTATGCTTTTACATTCATTTAATGCTTAAGCATTAAATGTATCTTTGGATATTGCCAAATTGCCCTCCAAAGTGACTGTATCAATTCATGGTCCCCTTAGCAATGTACAGTTAATTATTTCCTCCCCATTCTTTCTTAAACACTTACTGAAGGTTTTAGTATATGTTAACCCTTTGTTCATTGCCTGGTAGCCCTGGAGTGCAGAGGCTGATTGTCCTGAGCATTCACTTGCTTCCCTTTTGCTTCTGAAGATACGAGATAGAGCACATGCATGACCGTGTGTGTATGTGTGTGTGTGTGCGCGTGCGTGAGAGACAGACAGAGATGGACACAGACCAGCACCCTCCCCTCGCCATGCCGTGACCCTTAGCCCAGTCCTCCAGCCCATCTGCTCTCAGGCACTTGGCACACGCCCTGCCTGTCTTAGCTGGCCATGGCAGACCATGCCCGTGCTTTGCAGCACTTGACCTCATCACGTGATGGCTGTTCTAGGCGGTTCTCCTGGAAAAGAATGTGCCGAGCATCTCATGTGCTCACCGCTCAGGACACAACACCATCCTGCCTGCCAGGACTCATGCTCTGGAGGGGGAGGCATGGATGTTGATAGACAATTGCTGGGACCAGCAGGTGGCAGAGTGGTTATGTGGCTGGACTCCCACAGAGTCAACCTGGTCCATGTCCCCGACCCAGCAGGTGTGTGTGCGTGCATGCCCAAGATCCTGAGAGGAGAATGGAGAAGGGATTGTGGTGTGGCCATCCTCCCAGGGGCAGTTTCTCACTTCATGACTGTCTCCGACAAGCTCATGTGCCCTATGGCAAAAATCTTTCTCTTAAAATATATAAACGGGACCAGCAGGTGGTGGGGTGGTTAAGGCGCTGGACACTCCCACATGCACGACCACAGTTTGAGTCCCAGACCTGGTGGGTTGTTTTCTCACTTTCTCTCTCTCTCTCTCTGTCTCTCTCTGTCTCTCTCTGGTCAAATTAAAATAAATGAATAAATAAAATTAAAAATAAAATAAAGAAACAAATATATTTTTTAAAATAGACAAGTGTCGTGCAGGGGGAGAAATGGCACAGAGGTAGCCCAGGGAAGGAGTGATCTCGCAGCCTCATTCTGGTTCCTGGGTTGGGGATGGCCAGGGAGCTGGTATGCCACACCTCTCCTTGTCTCCCAGCCCACCGCCTTGGATTCCCATCTGGCGTTCAGCCCCAGGAACATAATGTTAGCCTCCTGAGTTTTTCAAAAGATTCAACAAAGACTCGGGAGCATGTGTGCTAGCCCTGCTACCCTGAAGGTCTTCTGCCCACTGGGTGTACAGCTTTGCATTCCAGTGCGGACACTCATTAGCCAGTGTCCCTGGGGCCTGCCTGGCCAGACCGTAGACCAGGTGCTCTGTTCTCCTGGGGTGGGTCGGACTGTTAAGCTGTGTCTGCCATGACTGTGGTTCCCTTGCCACAATTCTCCTCAGGTGAGGCTTGATGATTTGTATGTGTGGGGTTTTTTTTTTGCCTTTTTTTTTTTAATTTTGGCTTTTCATGCTGTGAGAAATTGTTAGAATTATGGTCTTTGTTGTTTAGATTTTTAAAAATTGCTTTAGAGACATGTAAGTAAGATATTTACAGATCCTATGATGTCTAGAATCTGCTTCAAAATAAAACATGGTAAAAGGAGGTGGATAAGGGGCAGGTGATGCACAGCTGGACAGGAGTGGGCCAGCAGATGGCATGGTGGTTCAGGCAGCTGGATCCCATATGCCCAGCCATGCAGTTCAAGTCCCAGCCCCGGCAACTTGAAAAACATGATGGGCATGTGTGCGTGTGTGCCCAAAATTCCAAGAAGAAAATGGAGGACAAGGGATTGTAGCATGGCCATCCCCCATGCTCTCTTACATTCTTTCTCTCTCTGTCTCTCTCTCTCTGTCTCTCTCTCTCTCACAAGTGCTCATACCCTATAGCAGTTTTTGGGAAAAAAAAAAAGGAGTTAGTACATTGCCGAAGCTGGTTGAAGACACGTTGCTCTTCAATCTTTTTTTTTTTTTTTAATGGTTCAATTGGGACTGGAAGATGGTGTGATGGTTACTGACGTTGCAGGACTCCCACGTAGTCAACTGTGATTTGAGTCCCAGACCCAGAGGCTTAAAATGGGACAAGTGTGCATGTGTGTGCAAAATCCTGAGAATGGATTGCAGCATGCCATC